CAACCCCCCTATATCCACCTTGCCTCAATGGTTACTGCCAGTCGTCATCTAGCCCCTTCTCTCAGGGGCAAACTGCAGTCTGTGATGGCCACTCATCACTGGCAAGGGGGTTGGACCTGCTGCCTTTCTAGCCCCAGCTGCCTCCTTGCAGCCCTAGTACCTCCCCTGGCCTTTAGCTGGCAGAAGATGTCACACTGTGGGGGTCAGCTCCACCACATGGCTGACATGCCCTTCCCCTTCCTGACACAGCGGGGGGAAGAGGGTGCAGGAGGCGGCTCCTCCAGTGCAGATTCGCCTCCCCTCCAGGGACTGCGACTGGTTTAAGGACACTTTGTGCCACATCACGGGGGTATCTGGGCTTTGAAATGGCCTGTGATACACAAGAGGTCGGACTGCGTGAGCTGGTGGCTGTTTTCGACTTAAACTCTGTGAAGTTATTAAATTGTTGTTAATGATGCAGAAAATCATTAAATCTCAGGAGAAATTTCCTAAGTGTCAGAGCAGTAGGACAATGGACCAGACACCTCGGGAAGTCGTGGAATCTCCTTCACTGGAGGGTTTTGGGAGGAGGCTGAAGAGCCATCTGTCTTGGATGGTGTAGACACAGCATATCCTGCGTCTTGGCAGGGGGTTAGACTAGATGACCCTTGTGATCCCTTCTAGCCCTACGGGTCTGTGATTCTGTGGGAAGGCAGACATGTTCAATAACTGTTTCTGGTCTGTATTTGTAAAGATGCAGGATGATCTAATCGTATCACATGAGGATGATGAAGTATTTTACATTCACTAGGGAGAAACGTTTTCAAACCAGCCGGTCCAGATAACTTTCACTCCTAAAAGAGTTCACTGAGGAGCTCTCTGGCCCGCAGATGTTAATTTTTAATAAATATTGGAATATAAGGAACACTCTAGAAGAGTGGATGCTAATGTTGTGCCGGTAGTCAAAAGGGGCAAGTGCCATGACCCTGGAAACCTGCAGGCCGGCTAGTCTATCAGTTCCAGGCAAAGTAACAAAAAAACTGATACAGGATTCAACTAATGAAGGCTTAAAGGATAGGAATGTTATTAATGCCAGCTAGCGTGGTTTTATGGAGCATCAGTCTGGTCCAACAAACCGGATTTAGTTCTATGATGCAATTACAAGTTTGGTTGATGAAGATGACTGTGTAGATGTATTTCAGAGTAGCAGCCATGTTAGTCTGTATTCACAAAAAGAAAAGGAGGACTTGTGGCACCTTAGAGACTAACCAATTTATTTGAGCATAAGCTTTCGTGAGCTACAGCTCAAATCATCGGATGCTCTGGAACTGCTCCCTACGAAGCCAGTCAGGACCCTGGGGCAGTCTCCTTTCTGTGAGCAGCCTGACTTCAGGACACACAGCTCACACAGCTTCCACCTTCCTGGGTCTGACCTCGGAGCATTCAGCATCCTCTGCCCCTCTGTGCGCTTCCCACAGCGAGTCCGCCCAGGCTGGGTCTTGGGGAAGCCAGAGGGTCCTGCCCCCCAATTCCGCAGTCAGACATGACTCTCAGCCAGCCAGTAAAACAGAAGGTTTATTAGACGACAGGAACATGGTCTAACACAGAGCTTGTAGATGTAGAGAACAGGACCCCTCAGCCGGGTCCATTTTGGCAGGCAGTGAGCCAGACAATCATGTCTGCACTTCACTCCTCATCCCCTGCCAGCCCCAAACTGACTCCCCCTCCAGCCCCTCCTTCTCTGGGTTTTGTCCCTTTCCCAGGCCAGGAGGTCACCGGATTCCTTTGTTCTCCATCCCTTCAGCTCTCACCTTGCAGGGGGGAAGGGCCCAGGCCATCAGTTGCCAGGAAACAGGGTGTCGGCCATTCTCTGTGTCCAGACCCCTGCATACCCCTGCCCTCTAGGGCTCTGCAACCATCATACACCCTTATCCCACCACATAGATACTTAAGAACTGCCTAGGGGAAACTGAGGCACCCCCACATTATGCAGAGGAAACATTAAGAACAGTCCCGCTTTGTCACAGGCTAAAACCCACTGCATCGGATACATGCAGTAGAAAATACAGTAGGAAGATATATATATACACAGAAAACATGAAACAATGGGTGTTATACAGATCTCAGAAAGCTGTTGTCAGTGGTGAATCAACATTTTATGGGAGTGTTTCTAGTGACGTGCCACAGGGATCAATTCTAGGCCTGATGCTATTTATCATCTCCATCAATGATCTGGGAGTGAAACATGGAATCACTGGTGATACAATTTGTGAATGACACAGAGATTGTGAGAGCGATGTATAGTGACAAGGACAGGGCAGTCATACAGAGCGATCTTGATAGCTTGATAAGCCGGGCCCACTCAAACAAAATGCCTTGTAATCCAGCCAAATGCAAAGTTATATATCTAGGAACAAGGAATGCTGGCTGTACCTGCAGACTGGGCCTGTGTCCTGGAAAGCTGAGGCTCTGGAAAGGATTTAGGGGTCGCAGTGCACAAGCAGCTCAACTCGCTCTCCCGATGTTATGCGATTGCAAAAAAAAAAGCGAATGCAATTCTTAGACGTATAAATAGGGGAGTAGCAAGCAGGCGTAGTAAGGATTTGATTTTACCTGCGTGTATATGGTATTGGTGAGACCAATACTGTGTACAGTTCTGGTGTCGACATTATTAAAAGGATGTTGAAAGATTGGAGACTGTAACCTCCTGAATATCACAGGCCTTTACATTTTGCCCAGTTACTCCTGTATTTCACCCAATAGCTTATGTTTGGCTAGAGCATAAAGGCCTTCCAGAAAGGCATCTAGGCTTGGTTTGATGACATCAAGAGATGGAATATCCACCACGTCTCTTTGGAGTCTGCTCCAGTGGTTAATCACCTGCACTGTTAATAAATTGTGCCTTATTTCTAATTGGTCAGTCTTGAATTTCAAGCTATCGGTTCTTTTTATGCCTTCCTCTGCCTTTAGTATCTGGCAGTTTCTCTCCATGAAGGTGCTTGGACAGTGTAACCAAGTCACCTCTCAATCTTATTTCTGATGAGCAAGACAGTTTGGGTTCCGGCATCCTCGCACCGTCAGGCGTTTCCCACATCTCATCTTTCCCCTTCTTTTATGTTCTCTGTAGCCTCCAATTTTTAAACATCATTTTTAAAATGTTGCCACCAGATTTCTGTGCAGTTATTCCCACACGGGTCTCATCAGTGCAGTGTAGAGAGGTAAAATCACCTCCCTCCTATCATGCTCCTCTTCTCTCACAGCGGTGATATGGCTATAAATTCCATTAAAGTATGAGAGTCTCTCAGATGCTGTGTGGATGAGCACCGCAGAAAAGACCACGAGGAAATGAATAATGCAGTATTCAGGGCAGGCTCTGGCTGGTGTCCAGTACATAAGGCAAGGGTCACTAAAAGAAATATGAAAAAAATACCGACCAGCTGTTCATCCTGTGCACTGAATGAGCCAGCGGTCCTGTAGATGACGGTCTTATAATGAATGTGCACAAGGGAGCAGAATTAATGTTGCACAGGCCACATAAACAGGCTTGATAGCACAACCTTCGTAGTGTTCTTTTATCATATATATTTTCTTTTTAAAATTTTATTTTATTTAAATTCTATTCCCAATAGATAATGTCAGTGTCAACCGTCCTCATCTGCCCACCTTCTAGCCCCCACTAATGAACTCCTGGTCACAATACCTGTGGCTCTTGGCGTATACGGCCCTTTTCATCAGCAGCTGTCAAAGCACTTTACAAAAGTGGGTATTCCATGGTCCCCAGCCCCTATTTTACAAAGGAGGTGACTGAGTCACGGAGTGCTTGAGGCCAACGCTTCCAAGCACAGGGGCCCAGAGCAAGACGCACAGATCCATGTTTAGGCACCTAGATCTGTGCTCTGATTTTCAAAGACTCTGCGCACCTCCACTTGCAAGGGTCCTGTGCTCAGTAGCTCTCAAATTCAGGCCACTTGTTTACGTGACTAACGGGGGCCTGATTTTTTCATTTCCTCCATTTCATGCTCGTCTTATTGCATGTTATGAGGCCTCGGGCCACAACCAGACTGTTTATGACCCAAGAAGTCTTTAAAAAGCTGGATACTAGCACTGGAAATGGGGGGGAAGAATGATACCCAACATGGCTCCTACTGATTGCTGAAAAGATTTGCCAAACATGGTGACAAAGGAGGAAATTCTGGGGAATTAAACTCAGGGCTAGAAAGCAGAAATTCCTGGGTTCTCCTTTGAGTGATTGTCCATACGCGTATTCCACTTACGGTGCGCATGCGTCCCGTGGGCCTGAGATCAGAGCTGTTTGCCTAGCAATGTCCAGCGCGGCCACAGATGTTACCGTTCATTCCTATGGCAATTGGCGCCACCGTGGTAGATCTTTCAGGGTAGGTTCCTTTTTACGAGCAGATGGCTTATTTTTCCTCCTGGTACCAGGATGCCTCATTCTAAGTCTCCTGGTTTCAAACACTGACCCTTATGTATGGATGCTGTGCCCCATAAAAAATGTTAATTCTGTTTGGTGGAGGTGTGCGTCCACGGTAAATGTGCGATATGCAAGTCCTTTACACCTAGGTCTTGACAGGCAGGCTCATCTCCAGATATTTCTAATGGACACATCAATGAGACAGGCTTTGGCCCCTGCCTTGTTTGACCCCACTGTACACGAGCTGACTATCTGAGTGCTTCTGTTAGCACAATCTCTGCAACATCTGAAAGCCCATCTGCTATGGCTTCAGGCCTGATGCTGACACCCTCTGTGATCTTGGACAGTTCATGTCACCTGGCAGCCTCAGTTTCCCCATCTGTTAAATATAACTACAGAACAGTAAAGAGGCTCTGTGCAGGTGACCTGGGTTTCCTGTCCCTCACCCTCCTTCCTGATGCACACACATCTCCAGTGTGTCCTGCAAGTTCAGAACACAGCCTGGGACCCCTAAGCCCCATTGTTCCTGCTGCCTGTTTGCTGTGGGCTGGGCAGCGTTTGTGCTGATCAGTGTCTCTTTGTGTCCCAGGTGAATGGTGTGAATGTGGTCAAGGTAGGGCACAAGCAAGTGGTGTCGCTGATCCGGCAGGGGGGAAACCACCTGGTGATGAAGGTTGTCTCCGTCAGCCGCAAGCCAGAATCAGAAGAAGTCGTCCGAAAGAAGGGTAGGTGTGGAATGGCCTGTTATTTCTGAGCAACGAACAAGTGAGCTCCGCCTCATTCTGCAGGTTGTCCCCCCAGCTCAGCCTAGCCATTCGTTATGCTGGGTTCAGTCTCCCACCAGCTCAAGCTCTCGGTGTCTCTGGACCCTTTCTCTGCTGCCAGGGCCTATTATCCTGCTGGCCCGGCTCAGCCTCCAGTTCCCCTGGGGTCCTTATCCCACCAGCTCGGCTCATTTAATCCGGGGTGAGCTGGCTGGCCGGGGGCCTCCCGAACTAAAAGCGTGAGTGTGCAGTGTGAGCTGAAGAGCTGTGCCCCTGGAATCGGGCACCGTAACCACTCGTATCCTCGCCAGATTGGCCCAGCGTGGGCCTTGGACCCGAGGATGATACTTTGCCACTCGTTACCAGGGCCTGTTTGTTGCCCTGGCCCTGCCCAGCGGAGGTGAGACCCACTGCCTGCTGCTCTGTCCCTGGTGACGGGAGACTGGCTCCTTGCCTGCGAAGATCGACGGGGTTTTCACAGCAACAACGGGAGGGAAGTGAAGGTGCAATGGCTGTCCGGGTGCAGCCTGAGCTAAACAGCGGCCATACCTGCTGCGGCCTCCAGGCCAGAGGTGCTTACCTGCGCCAACACCCCTGGGCTGCACTTGGCACAGGAAACGCTGCAGCACGCAGCATAGGCCTTCGGGCACCGCGTCGGCCAGAGCCCTGGACTGCGCGAAGCAGGCTAAAGCCTGCCAGCGTAGGACACGTCTCAGGCTGGCGGCTCCAGCAGGACAGAACAAGGGAGTCCTGACCAGAACAACGTATCAGAAACCAGTGTTACTGGGCACCCCAGGCTCAGGATGGCATGTCCAGGGCTCCCCCAGGGCTGAGAGAAGCACCCCAGACTCTGGCTCCGTAGGGCATCCCGATGTGCCCCTTCTAGCTTCTGCCAGGCAGAGCCCCCCACTGTTCACCAAACGAGATCAAGGGCTGGAATCTCCACTCAGAGCTCAGAGGAATTAGGGGAGGGGGGGCCACAGGGAGCCAGGCGTGGCTTCCTTATCCTGAGCCACAGGGGCCCTTAGGCCCTTTAGTCAATGGAGGACAGGGCAGAGCAGAACTCTGTTCCACCATGCCCCCCCTGCCCTGCCCCTCACCCCTTTCACGGGGCCTTGGGGTGTTTGGCAGCTTTATGCAGGAGAATTATTCACAGACCATCCACATAAGCAGCTGTAGAGGACTGGTGAATTCAGCCCTGAGTATATAGGCTTTCTTTGGCAAGGGGTTGTACCTGCAGGCCTCCCAGCACGGACCAAAAGACACTTGAGGCTTTGGCAATTCCAGTGGTTCTGTGCGGGAGGAGCTCATTGTGACGTGTTTGTCAGCAGAAGGGAATTTCTTCTGGTTTCTGGCACAGGTCCTGCCATCTAGAGGTTTTCCCAGTTGACCAAAGGAGTTTTTTTTCAAGGGTGGAGAGGTGCCAGGTGCGGATTGTGCCCCTGGCCTGGAGAGGGAGGTGCCAGATGCGGATTGTGCCCCGGATGCGGATCTTGCCCCGGGCCCAGAGGGAGAGGTGCCAGGAGGGGATCTTGCTCTTGGCCCCAAGGAGAAGGTGCAGGGTGCGGTTCATGTCCCCAGCCCGGAGGGAGAGGTGCCAGGTGGGGGTAGTGCCCTTGGCCCAGAGTGGGAGGCGCTGGGTGGAGTTTTTTCCACGGGGCCGGGCTGGGTGGGGATCATGCCCCCGGCCCGCAGGGGGAGGTGCCAGGTGGGGTTTGTGCCACAGGGGGAGGTGCTGGGTGCAGATTCTCTCCCCTGCTGAGCCAGGGAGGTGTCTGGGGCACATGGAGCGTCAGGAGGCTGTTAGAGGAGGAGGGTGGTTGCAGGGGAGAGGCCCCTCTTTCCTCCACGCCATGGGACCCGCGTGGACCTTCCGGCCGGCAGCAGTTCCCTGGGGAGATTCCGAGCAGTGTGATCCCCGGCAGCCGGGCTGAGCGCAGCGGGTGGACCGGGGGCAGGCAGCAGGTCAGAGCGAGTGCTGGTTTAGCGGCGAGGGTCTGTGTGGCGAAGGAGCCCGTTCCCTTGGGGAGTGTGGCTGGGCGCCAGGCGCTGAAGGAAAGGGAGGACTGAGGCGCTCGGAAAGCAAGACACGAGGAGAGGGGGAGGGAGGCAGCTCTGTGCTGACACTAAGAGCTGTAATTATATTGTCACTGCTCGAGAGCACGAGTCGTGGGAAAGACTGAGGCTCAGGAGCTGGTGCTGGGATCTTTGCCGGGGTCGCTTCCTCCTCCTCTTCCCGCACTTCCAGCCTCTTCTGCCCCTGCTCTCCAGCACCAGCTTGCTCCCCAGGCCTGCTGCGGGGGCCCTGCCTGGGAACCGCACCCCTGCTCTTTCCAGCGGAGTGGCAGAGAGCGGAGTGAGTGTGCGGGCTGCCACCTGGGCCGTGGCCTCACCGAGCCGGCCGGTACCCAGGCCCTGGCATTCACCGAGCCAGCTGGTACCCGGGCCCTGGCCTCACCGAGCCGGCTGCCACCTGGGCCCTGGCATTCACCGAGCCGGCTGCCACCCGGGCCCTGGCATTCACCGAGCCGGCTGCCACCCAGGCCCTGGCATTCACCGAGCCGGCTGCCACCCGGGCCCTGGCCTCACCGAGCCGGCTGCCACCCGGGCCCTGGCTCACCGAGCCGGCTGCCACCCGGGCCCTTGCAGGCTCCCCTTGGCTGGAGGAAGATTGTTTCTGCGGGGCTCTGATCGCCCAGGGGCCAAGGCCGCCGTGCCCCCGCCGCAGAGCTCTGCCCGGGCTGGCCTCCTCTCCTCCCAGCGCAGGTCGGCCTGTGTTCCTGGCTCATGGAGGCCTGTGTGGGAGCAGCGTTCCCTGCCCGAATCCGCCCCTGTTGGGGTCTCTGATGCAGGCAGCTCGGCACCAGCCTGAAGCTCTGGTTCCCATGGTAACGCCTGAGCGTTGAATCCTGCATTGTTCCAGCCGAGCAGGCGAGGAGGAGGCACCTGAAGTGAAGAGGAAAAGCCTTCAACTCATCTCCACTCCCTGAGCCCATGGCATGGCACCTCTCTCCGGCAGAGCCACCGGCGGGCCTGGCTAGGGAGCCCCTCTCCCCAGCCCTGCCCCTCGCCACAGCGCCCACTGCTCGTGGGCTTTCCCACATGCGCCACGCGGCCCCTCAGCTTGGCACAGAGACATCCCTCTCCAGCCCTTCGCTGGGGCCCTGACACCGCCGCCGGGCCTGGATCCAGCCTGAGTTCAGAGACAGGGCGAGGTGGGCACTGGGCACTGCAGGATGGACTCCCCCCCAGGAGCTGGGGAGTGAGAGGCTGAGAGCCTGGACTCTGTCCCCCTCTCCTACCCTCCGCCCATGGCGTGCACGGAGGGGAAGCAGCCAGCCAAGCTGTTTGCCGAGTCACACAGGCAGCCAGCTGCCTGCGGGTGAATTTGAGAGAGAGGCTTTCCCAACCTGATCCTCTCCTGGCACTGCAGGGGTGCGAGCAGCCCAGGGACCATGGCTTGGACTCTCGCAGGCTGAGGGTCTGTGGTTACCTGGGCGCAGGACGCTCCCTGGCAGACCTCAGCAGTCCCAGGGCTGCCCTGTGCCCTTGGGACCCTGTGACTGGGACAATGAAGAAGTTTGCTTCCACGCGCAGCCTTAATAAGATTCTGCAGCAGTGCGACTCCTCGTCCCGCGAGTACGAGGAGATCCAGGCTGTGGAGAAGAAGTGGCACCTGCACTTGGCCACTCCTCGCAAGTTCCTGGACAAGAAGTGCAAAATGCCATCTCTCTTCCTTTCAGCCCCGCCGCCTCCCAAGAGAGCCCCCAGCACCACCCTGACGCTGCGCTCCAAGTCCATGACGGCCGAGCTGGAGGAACTAGGTAAGCAAGGGGCGCGGGGGCAGACGCAGGAATGCCCAGGTGCATGAGGAGCATGCGCGGGACATGGAGAGTGCAGGGACACACCCAGCAGGAAGCCACACGTAACACACGCTTCCCTGGGGGGGGGGACAGGTGGGCGCTTGGAGGGACGCACGCACACTCCACACATGGAAGTTTCTGCAGGGCTTGGCCTGTGCAAAGCGTCGCTTGCCACCAGCGCAGACGCAGCCAGCAGGAGAAGAAACCCTGCGCAGAATCACCCGATCCCCGGCGTCTGCACCGCCCGTGCTCAGGGGTGGGGCCCTCTGAGAGTGCTTCCTGGCAGCCACGCATCCCCCCCGGCCTGCACACATGCTGTTCTCGGCAGCCCCCACCCCCTGTATGTGTCCAGTAGCCCAGTGTCTTCTGCCTTCCTGCCCTTCCAGGTGGAGCCCCCCCACTTCCTGGGGTCACCATGCAGCCCCCCCTCCCCCCACACTTCCGGGTGTCGCCATGGAGCCCCCCTCCCCCACCCCTTCCGAGTGTCACCACAGACCACCCCCCTTTCCCCAGTTCCTGGTGTCACCACAGATCCCCCCTTCCCTGCCTGCTTCCAGGTGCTCCAGGGAGCCCCAAGCGCTTCCCGTCTGTCCTCGTGGAGCCCTCACCTTATTCCAGGAGCTCGGACATTCCTGCAGAGCCCCCTGATCCCATGGCCACCTCCCGGCACCCCTGCACGCACTTCCACGTGCGTCAGGGCTTCCATATGCGTACGTAGGGCACTTCCACGTGCGTCAGGGCTTCCACAGCTTGGGGATCACAGCTTGTTTCCTGTGCATAGAAATGGTCCCCTGTTCCAGGCCAGAGTCTGCCCAGTACGCTGCAGGGCAGCTCCTGTGCCTGCCTGGGGGTGCGCATGTCGGCTGGGCTGGCTGGCTCAGAGATGGGGCAGGGGCGTGGGCCTTTGCGGGTTCCAGAGTGGGGTGCTAGCTAGCCGCAGGCACCAGAGGTAGTGAGGAATCTCCTTACCCCCGGTGCCCCCAGTCGTGTTGCACGCCCATTTGGCATGAAGGGTGTGTGCTGCTCAGGGGCCCGGGGCTGGAACCGAGGTGCATGCTGAGCTCCGGAGCCAGGAGCTCTGGCAGAGTTGAGTGGAGGGATCTTGCACAGTACCTGCCTGCCCCAGCCCCGGCTCATCATTGCTTGGACACTGAAAAGCAGCGATGTGTCCACCGCTGCCTCTCTGAGCATCGCGCAGTGGGAGGAGAGATGCTGGGGTGGGGAGGGTCTCCCTGTACCAGCGCCTCTCTCTCACATGGCCCTTCTCACCCAGCTGTGCCCTTGGCTGGGGCTAGGCTGGCCCTCGTGCTTTTTAAACAGAACTTTGGAGTCCACGGTTTCCTTAAGCTTTTGTGTCCGGTCTCCCCATCGTTGACCTGGCTCCAGGCAGGAGCAGCCCTTCTGGCTCAGGCCCCTGCACCCTCAGGCTAGGCATCGAAATCTAGGTAATGGTGTCTGATAAGGTGTCTCTTCTGGTCACCGAAGGAAGGTCCTGACTCCTTGGTCCCGCCCCCGCCAGGGGAAGCGCTGGGTTTGAACAGTGGGCATTAGGCAGGGCCTCGGGCCAGTCCGAGTCGTCTCCTCTTTCTTGCCTTTCCCTTTGAACACGTGGGACACAGCTGCTCAGCTCAGCGGTTGGTGCTCACAGGATTGTGCCCCAGGCCTTCTGCTCTCGCAGGGCTGCTGATCAACTTGGTGCGGGCCCATGAGGGTTGTGAGTGGACACTGACAGGGAGCACGGCGCTGTGCCCATGGCAGGCCGTCATCGGAGACTGGCATGTGCACTGCCCTCGCATGTAGACGGGGACATGCCAGCCTGGGCACTCGCCCAGCAAGTCACTGTGCACACACAGGAGGGACGCATGAACGTGTACTATATGCATGTGTGAAGGCAGCTCTCCAGGCATGGGGGTGCAAACTCACAGCATGGAAAGGAAAGTCCCCAGAAAGGCAGGAATTGTCTCCCTGTGGGGGGAGATTTAGGGAGAGTCCCTGCTCTCATCTCCCTGGGGGGTCATTGACAGCCAGTCCCTCCATCAGGCCTCGGGGCAGCAGGGGAAAAGCAGACGCTCTCTTCCTCGTGTCCTGGGGCAGGTTGCCCTGTGTCTCCCTGGGGGTGGGGGGAGGAGAGTGATTATCAGCCAGGCTCTGCCCCACCTTTCTCTGGAGTGAATGGGGGGAATTAGTGGCTGGTCTCTCTCCCACCTCTCCCCAACAGTGAGGGTAATCCGCAGATTGTCGGGGTCAGTTCTCCATCACTGGCCATCTTCAGCCAGGTAGGAGGTGTATGTGAAAGCTCTGCTCTGGGAATGAGCGGGGGGCAGCCCCTTGGTGGCCTGTGCAATGCAGGAGGTCAGGCTAGGGGGTCACAATGGTCCCTGCTGGCCTGGGGATCTGTGGAGCTCCCTGCAGGGTGATGAGCAGTGAGCCCTTCCCCACAGGCTCTTGGCGTGGGAGGAGAAGAGCAGCTGGTCTCTGCCCCATGTCTCCTGGGAGTGGGGGGGTTAGCAGCTGGCATCTGCCCTGCCTGTCCTGGGGGAGTCCTTGCCCTGCAGCTAACTTGGAGAGGCATTATCGGTCAGCCCGCATCACGTCTCCCTGGGGTGGATTTAGTGGCCAGTCCCTGCCCTGTCTCCCTGCGGGGTAGTTCGTGGCCAGTCTCTACCCCACGTCTTCCCAGGGGGTTAGTGGCTGGTCTCTGTCCCTCCACCTTTCCCGGGGGGGGGTTAGCGGCTGGTCTCTGTCCCCCCACCTCTTCTGGGGGGAGTTAGCAGCTGGTCTCTGTCCCCCCACGTCTCCCGGGGTGGGTTAGGGGCTGGTCTCTGTCCCCCCACCTCACCCAGCGGGGGTTAGCGGCTGGTCTCTGTCCCCCCCACCTCTCCCAGGGGGCGCGGGAGGTAGCGGCTGGTCTCTCAGGTCCCTGGGTTTCACAGGTCAGTCCCTGTACCCAAGGTGAGTGCTCCTTGGGGGGTTGGGGGCGCACTCTCCTTTGCACCCTTCGAGCTGCTTGTGGGTTCTGTGGCGGGGCCATGTCAGCCCAGTCGAGAACGGTACATTCCCCATGAGCCCCTGGTGAGCAGTGGGGGCTAAAGCCTCCTCCCTCCAAGAGGCCTTTCTTGGTGTTTGTCTCCTCCAGGACTTCAGGCATCCAACCCTGTCCAGGCCTCCCTCCACTCCTCTTCTGCCATCATCTCTCCTGCTGGGCTAGTGCTGGCCATGGCCCCGTAGCCAGGCAGGGCTGGGCTCAGGTCTGCCTGGGCATGAGGGTGGGACATGGGAGAGTCGGCCTGGCCTTGTGTCCTATCGTGCTGTGAGTCGCAGTGCCGCACGATGGCCCTTCTGCTCCCACGAAGGGGCTGCAAAGAGCCGCATTATCGTGTGCTGGCCCCATGCTGGAGGAGTGAGCATGGACCAGGCCTCGGGGCTGTCCGAGCCCTAATACACCGCAAGCGCCATTGCAGAAACTGGGAGGTAACTGCCCGGAGAGCCACCCCTTGACTGGCCAGAGCTTAGTTCCTGCCAGGTGGGCCCAGCGTCCTCCCGGGTGTTGAGAAGCTGGGAGTGTGGGGCAGAGTTAGGGAGGGCAGCTGGCGAGGAGCGAGCGGGACAGGGAGCAGGGACTGTGCATGCCATTCATGTCCTGTGTTTTGTTTCTTGATTCCAAGCCTCGATGCGGAGGAGAAAAGGGGGTGAGTGAAACTGTACAGCCTGGGGGCTCTTCCCATCCCTGCCGAACCCCACAACGTTCCTGGCCTTCATCCCCAAGAAACCCCTTACACCTCCCTTCAGAAAGTGGGTCAGGGCTAAGTGCACCCCAGGAAATCCCCGAATGAGCACAGATCTCAGCAGAGCTGAGGTTCCCATGCCCGAGAACAGAGCAGAGTGCAGCTGCAGAGGTGACTAGCCCCTTGACCAGATGCTCAGAGTGGGGAATTCCCTTGTCAACTAGAGTCCCAGAATCCCAGGCCCTGGTCCTTCCCTGCTTTCTATCCTTCACGCTGCACAGGGTGGGGTAAAGCTGATGGCCACAATCCTCCATTGGCTTCAGTTTGCTTCGTGCCTGTGCCCCACTGAAAGCAGCCCCTGCATAGGGGGGTCATTGGGTGCTACCCCGTCCTGGCCCCTGGAACTCACAGCTAGATGAAGTAATGACAACTAACCTGGCCACGCTCACTACTAGGTGCAAACCCTCGCCTTGCCTGTGTAGACAGGTCAGCGGGGCGAGGCTGATCCCGTCCCATGGTGCTGTGTTTCTGTGCGCTGATACCCTGAGCCCTGGCCGGAGGCAGGCACCAGGCGTGGGGCTGGAGCAGGCGGGCGTCACGGAATCCCCAGCTTTTCTGGAAGTTTGGTGCCAGCTGTACTGGTCAGAGGCAAAACTCTGCTGGTGCTGGTGCAGGAACGTAGAGCACCCTGATGAGGGGGCCAACACCCCCTCTCCTTCCCTGCGAGGGAAGGGCAAACCAGGCACCAGGGAGACACCCAGTCTCGGTCACAAGGACATAAATTGAGGAGCGCCCTTGGGTAGCCTCCCTGACTTTCAGCACAGCCAGAGAGGAAGAGGGGATGGGCAGGGAGGGAGGGGCCCGTTTAAGAGGGCTCGCTGGGGGGAAAATGAGGACATGGAAATAGCTGTTGAGTGAAGCTCAGCTCTGTCAGGCTGGGGAATTGTCCCTCTAGGCAGGAGGGGTGAGCCCGTCTCCTGGGATCTCCATAGAACTAGCTGGGGGGCTGCTTTGGCGGACGCTCTCTGCTGCAAGGCACACGCTAGCCGTGACTTCATGGGGCTTTTCTAGCTCGTGCCAGGGCCCCGCAGAGGCATGTGGCTGTTAGCGTCAGTTCTCTCCTCCCACTCTCGTGGCCCCACTGAACGGTCATTCATTACCGGAGGTTTGGAAAGACGATTGTGATGTTTCCCGGGCACCAGGCCCGCGAGGCACCTTGCTACCCCCTGCTCTTAACTTCACGGAGCCTCGGCTGTGCCGGCCAGTGGTCAACTCCCCGACCCCACTGGCCACGGGCAGCACAAGCACTTCCCTCCCAGCCCACGCGGCACCACTGTCCCCTGCAGGCTACCGCCAGGCAGTCTTCCCCCCCAAGTGCTCCGAGCAGCCCCCTGCTCTGCCCAGCCCTGACCCATGGGCCACTCACGGAATTGCCAGGCCTGCTGTTCCCAAAGGAACAGTACCCAGCAGCTTAAGCCGGACACCTTGGACCACGGCCCCGCTTACCACACAGCATCTGCATTACGTTTATTTAACAAAGACCAAAGTTGTCTGGTGGCAAAGGGAATATTGGAAACGAAGGGTTACATAGAAACAAAACTGTCACACGTACTCTAGAGCCTGCGCTCAGCACACAAGCTGCCTGCTTGTCCAGGAAGGTCCTGCTCACCCCAAAGGCCTTCTCATAGTGTCTTCACCAAGATGGCTGAGACCCTTCCTTCCTGGGCCCAAACCCCATGGAAGCTTGCCCTCCCCCCTATGAAGGGAGCCAGCGTGTCTTTCTGCACCCCCAGATATATCAGCCCAGACCTTTGAGCTTCACCTAAAAGCAGGGTACCCTGCCCCCTGCTGTTTACATCTTCCTGTTCATTTTCCTCCCAAAGACCCCCATTTGACTCAGTGGGAGAACAGACTTCTATTGTAAGCCACACAATATGCTTTGGTTAGCCAGGGAGATGTGTGACCCCTTCTTGAGACGCCTGTCTCAAAGCACACAGCCTCCGAGAGACCTGCTGTTAACTCCAAAGCCTCAGGAACAGAGTTTCCAGGAGATATACAGATCTCCTTACGTATTGCCTGCACACGTTCCACAAAGATAAAGCCTTGCGTGGGACTGTTTTTTTAGCCCCGCTCCTGTCCCGCCCGCAGTCCCCGCTCCCACTCCCCCTCGCTCCTGTCCCACTCACAATCCCCACTCCCCCTCGCTCCCGCCCTGCCCACAATCCCCACTCCCACTCCCCCTCGCTCCCGCCCACAATCCCCACTCCCACTCCCCCTCGCTCCCGCCCACAATCCCCAACTCCCACTCCCCCTCACTCCCACCCCACCCGCAATCCCCAACTCCCACTCCCCCTTGCTCCTGCCCCGCCCGCAATCCCCGCTCTCACTCCCCCTTGCTCCTGCCCTGCCCACAATCCCCAACTCCTACTCCCCCTCGTTCCCACCCCGCCTGCAATCCCCGCTCCCACTCCTCCTCGCTCCCGCCCACAATCCACACTCCCACTCCTCCTCGCTCCTGTCCCGCCCACAAATTCCCACTGCCACTCCTCCTCGCTCCCGCATTGTTTCTTACATTTTTATCCCACTCTCACCCGCAAAAACCTTAGATCCCACAAGAGAGACAGATTCCCCCATACTACTAAAAAAACAAAAACAAAACCACCCAAACCAGTCGGTTAATATGTTTGATATCTAAATGAAATTCAAACACAATTTTTACCACTAAAAGAATAAAACAAATCTTGCATAAACCATGTAAAAAAATACTTTAACTCCTGTTATAATAGACATCAAATCGCTTTTTATCCCTCACTTAAATTTAAGTAGTAAACCCTTTATTTGAAAAACAAAGACAAACTTGCTTTCCATTTCCATTGCTGAAATTCGGTTTGTGACAAACTGACAAGAAATTTAGTGTTTTCCCAGAAATTACCGCAGGCTGGGGGTTTTGCCCACCCAGTCCTGCCTCCAACAAAGTCCATTTTATCTGCTCCTGCTCTTATGGAAGTGGGTCCTGCAGGATCCCAGTCCCACTGGAGGGCTCTCCAGCCCAGCTCCAGGCGAGAGCTTACCTGACACTTCAGTGAACCAGAGTGTACGTACCAGAGCCCGGGGAGCCCGGTGACCCTCTGCCACTTGCCATCAAGAGGCCCTTGGGTCACAGCGACAAAGCCCGGACGTGAATCGGGCTTTCCAGGTGGGAGTGCCCAGGGCGCAGGGCCTGACTGTTCTGTCGCTCGTGTCATCAGTCCCCAGGATTGTGCCCTCACAGGTACCAGGGATGATGGCTGATGTGACACATTCCCTATCTCCTCAATTCAGCAGAGAATTTAGCGCATGGCCCGTCCTCTCCTGCTGTCTTCCTGGTGTTCCGCTTTGTGCAGCCATAGAGGGGGCACTTGCTCTCCAAGGCCCTGGATCCTGTCCACTGGCCAGCCCTGCAAATGGTTTGGCTCATGCCCAGGAGGGGACAGTGGAGAGCCACCTGGGCTCAGTGGGTGGGGTTGTGCACAGATGTGGGGCTATGGCTGTCGAGATGGGCACAGCGCCTGGTCCTGGCTCTCCCCACATGAGCTCACAGGAACTCCAGCCGTACCAGCACGGGGAGAGAGGAGCTAAATCAGACTTCTGCTGCCGTCTTCTGGGGTGGGCCGCCCTCCTCCACCGGCTCGCCCAGGCCAAGTCCTTGGCTTTCAGATGTTCTGGAGCCGCTTTGTCCACCACTCCAGAGAGGCATTGCACATGGCCAGTGCCTCCCGTCCCATGAGTCTCTGGCTCCTGACTGCTCTATACAGCTGTCAGGCAGTGGCGCCAGGGGTCTGCCCCAGAGAGGGTTTGCAGGTGGGTGGCCAGCTCAGCAGGGATCTAGTAGCTCCTAAAGCTTCCACCCCTAGGGAAACCTAGAGCAGTGGTCCCCAAACTTTTCAGGGTCATGCTCCTGTTACCCCAGTCTGTGCCTCCCCCCAAGCTGGGTCTGGGAGCGGAGCAGTGGCTCCAGTGGGCGGGGGGAGGATGCAGACTGGAAAGGGGGCCAAGGCTGGACACAGCTGGGAGTGGGAGCAGAGCTCCGCCCAGGGGCTGAGGCTAGAAGCCAGAGCCACAGGCGTGGGGCCAGGAGCCTGGGCACGGGGCCAGGAGCAGAGCTGGGTGGCATTCCTTCCTGCCCCACTGGGGGCTGGTCCGGGCCCCAGCCATGCTCCCCCAAATGGGGTACACCCCACAGTTTGGGGACCTCTGACCTCAAGGCTCTGTGCCATGGAGGCACAGCAATGCTCACTGGGGGGGCGTGAGGTCTAAAGTGCAGCGACACGCTGTGCAGGAACTCACCTGCATGGCCCCTGCTGGTGCAAACGTACCACAGTGCTGATTTGCACGTCGATGGTGGAGACGGCTGCGCCAGGCAGACAAGCCCTTGGGGACAGCTGCTTTCATGGAGCGATGGCAGTCTCCCCGAGTCAGGGCTGTGAGTAGCTTTCAGGCAGACTCAGTCTGAAGCTCTCTGCCTGAGGTGGCAGGTGTGGTCGCCGCTGACAGAGGATTCATGGGTTTGATTGCTGTCACGGGCCCCACTGCAGACTGGAGTGCTGGATATTTGAGGGGTTTTCAAGTTTTCTCATTTTTTCCCCGTCTGAAAGCAAAAACGATTGGCCTAGCCATGCCAAACGTGGCTCGTTCTGCTGTCCTCAGTGAGCACTGCTGCCTTTGCCCAGCCGGTACAATCACTCTGGAGTTGTCCCATGTGCTTCTCTTGAACCTCTGAGATGTCTATGTTCTTTATAGACGCTGCAGCTGTGACATTCCAAACTCTCCGCGTTTCCTAAAGCTTCTGTTTGGCTCGCCAGGCTTACAGGGTTTAGGACTTGAGCAGCCACAGATTGGAGGCGTAGAGGCCCACGTTCAACAGCCAGGCTGGACAGAGTCTAGACGTTTGTACATGCCTTATGGGCACTGGCCGAGCCTGACAGCCACCTGGACAGTCATTCTTTTCAGGAGACATATTTCAAAAATTGAAAGTATTTCCTAGAGTAGACAAAGGGCATCACTGGGAATGTAGGGAAAGGAACTGCAGCAACACGTGGCAGTTAAAAACGCAGCCCAACCCGGATGTTGGCCAGCCAGAAATTGTAAACTAGGTGAAACTTTAGAAGTTCCTGTTGTTTGGAAGGGCAGCAATACAGACATGGCCTGGGCAGTGAGTGACGGAATGGGGCTGCTTCCCTCAGGATGGCACATACTGGCTAATGCGGCACTCACACCTGAGCCCGTACCTGGATGTAATGTAGGCAAATGACGGGGGTAGGGGCTTCGTTAGGATTGCAGGACTTAGTGCGAAGGAGGAGAGTGAACAGCAGCTGCCACAAACTCAGTCTCCACCCGATCTGTGGCCCATCCCCAAGTGCAGAGTTCAGCTTGTCCCCTGCCACACACTGATTTGGCTTTATGTCTGAATTTCCAGAGAAACTGGATGAGATCTTGGCAGCAGCTGAGCCCTCGCTGAGAGCAGACATTGTCGAAGCAGATTCCAGGGCAGCCACTGTGAAGCAACGACCCACGAGCCGGCGCATCACGCCCGCGGAGATCAGTGTGAGAGAGGAGGGCGTCTGGGCGTGGGAGGGGGTTCTGCTTACTGGCGTCCAGCAAGGACGGCAAGTGTTATAACAAGCATCTAGCTGTGGGGCAGCAAACAGCAAGGGTACAAAGGAGCCAGAGCAGGGAGACGTTTTCTTGGGATGGAATGGGGAGGGGGTGGTAGGTTGGCTGAGAGGACATTGGTCAGCATAGTGAGTGGAGGGAGGCCAAAGAGGTTGCAGGAGAGAGGGGGATGGGAGATGGGGCAGTGGGCTCATGGGGGGATGCTAGAGAGATTGCAGTGGGGAGGGAGATGGGGGAGCAGATGGAGTAGGGGGTCGTGGAGTGCAGAGGGGAGGCCAGAGGTTGCAGGGGAGATGGGGGAGCAGAGGGGAGGCCAGAGAGGTTGCAGGGAAGATGGGGGAGCAGAGGGGAGGCCAGAGGTTGCAAGGGAAATGGGGGAGCAGTGGGGAGGTCAGAGGTTGCAGGGGAGATGGGGGGCCAGAGAGGAGGCCGGAGAAGTGGCAGGGGAGATGGGGGGCCAGAGAGGTTGCAGGGTCAATGGGGGGCCAGAGGGGAGGCCAGAGAGGTTGCAGGGGAGATGGGGGGCCAGGGAGGTTGCAGGGGAGATGGGGGACCAGAAGGGTTGCAGGGGGTCATGTCCAGGGCGATATCGGGAAGGCCAGTGGCCATGCTGGGTGTGACGGGGAGATGGACGGTGAGGCGGTGCAGGTGGCAGGGAGGACAGTGCTCCAGGTCTGTCCGGCGTGAGAGCGCAGGCTGGCTGCAGCATGTCAGGGCACCTGGGGGTTGAGTCTGGGATTTCGGGAAGATGATAAAGGAGGGAAGACAGTCCGAGAGGTGATTGGAGCAGGACTCAGGCTCTGGAGGACTCAGTGAGGACTCAGGGTCCGGAGATGAGGCAGGACAGATCATTGGGGCTAGTGGAGGACTCCGGATAAAAGAAGGGCAAGAGAGAAGTCTGAAGCCTGAGGCGGTTTTAGACAGAGGATCTCAGAGGCTGGAGCAGACAGAGACGTGGCTGAGGCGCTGGGGAAGTGCCATGTACCGTCACTGCAGGGTGAGGTGTTGCAGTGCAGCAGTGAAATGGGCACGTGGGAGGGAGGCGCGGCTAATGGCCGAGGGTTTTGAGACGTCCTTGAGGGAGAAGAGAGTCAGAGACAGAGGTCGGGGGTGCGGGGGAGAGTGGGCCCCTGAGGCTGTGAGCTTGCGCCGTACATTCGCTATAAGCTCTACGGATGCGGCTTATTTACATTACACTCCAGGGACCGCAGCCTGCTCCCAGTGAAATCAGTGAGGCTTTGGCTGTTGGCCTCAATGGGAGCCAAGAGGGAAGGGGACGCAGCTCCCCTGGACTGTTACGTTAGCGAATGCTCGCCACCCCATGCTGTATGAAGGCCCCGCTGTGCAGGGCACTGCACACACAGCAAGAGACGGGCCTTGCCCAGAGTTCAGGCCTGACCTCAGTGCCCCGCTCGTCCTTCACACCACGTAGCAGAGTGGGACAGTGCTGAGGTTGAAGTTTTGTTTCTGTTCAGTGGAGTCCGGTGTCAGAGTGACGTTCCCGTCTTTGTTTCTTTCCTAGTCACTATTCGAACGCCAGGGAATGGCAGCTCACTCGGGAGTTCTCCCAGGGGCCGAGAAACCCCACGTGTCCCTACGCAAAGGAATGCCCCGGACAAAATCTGTAGGTAAGGCAAACTGCAGGACGGTCCGTTCTTAGAGACAGGGTGAGCTCTGGGAAGGGTCTGCTGCAGAACACGAGAGGTTCACGAGCCAGCAGGTTCATGAGCCAGCACGAGAGGTTCACGAGCCACTCCTCCAGCACCTTCCATCCCAGGAGCTCGACAGCCTGGTCAGATACTAATGACAGAGCTCACACCCCTGGAGGAGGTCGGAAAATATCAGCATCTCGTTCCCCAGGAAGCCAGGCCCAGGAGTGAAATGGCTGTGTGGTACAGCTCAGTCCGAAGGGCCCAGGGCCAAGTCCGAAGGGCCCAGGGCCAGGCCCGAAGCCCTGTTGTGCTACAAGGACGTTACTGTGAGGCTAAAAGAGGAGTTGCTCCTGCTGGCGCTGAAAGGGCTGTCACATCTCATGTCTGCTGTGGATTGGCGCAGAGGGGGACCTGTAACCCACACGCACCCTGGTCCAGAGAGCGTCCAGTCCAGATCAGTGATCCCCAAACTTCCAAGGGTTGTGCCCCCCCAACTCCTGTCCACACCCCTCCCTGGAGCCGGGGCCGTAGCCTGGAGGGTGGGGACACGGATGGGATAAGCGGGCCAAGGCTGGGGCTGCAGCTGTGGGGGGTCTGGGGCCAGGAGCAGGACTGCACCCAGGGGCCAAGGCTGGGGGCGAGGACAGATCCACAGATGGGCTGTGGTGAGGGCTGGCAACCGGACCCGTGACCAGGTGCAGCTCTGTTCCTGGTCTCCCCCAGCCTCGGCCCCAGGCCGGAAACAGAGCCAGGGCCAGCAGCTAAAGCTCTGGGCCGGTGCAGGGCTGGGAGTGGAGCCATGCCAAGGCTGGGCACAGGGCCAGGAGCTGGGGATGCGGCTGGGGGAGGGATCAGAGCAGAGCTGGTGGTGGGGAGGGGCTGGGTAGCGCTCCCTCCTTGCCCCCTGAGAGGGCTGGCCCGGGCCCTTCTGTGCCCCCCCAGATGTTCCTCCAGCCCCAGAGTTTGGAGACCTCTGGTCTACATAGAGACCAAAGCAGGCTCTGGCTGGGGGGTACGACTCAGGAGCTAAGTGATCCAGGTGGTGGCAGGAGAAGCATGTCAATTCCATGTCTGTTTTTGTCTTTTTCTCTGGAATTATGAATATATTTGTTTATTTCTGTGCTAAACCCTTAGTTTTTGGGACTTGGGGGCAGTCAGGTTTGGAGTGGGGGAGAGGAGGGGTTGTTGGATAAGAGAGAGAAGCTGAGGGGGAAGTAGGTAGAAAGGAGAGAGAGGAGAGTAGTGGGTACCATATAACAGGTACCTACAATAACCTGGATCCATCCCTGTGACTAGGGACAAGAGAGAAAGTCAAGTCTCTCTTACCAGCACTCCTGTGTGTTACATCCTGATGTATATGCAGCCAGAAGAAAACATGCTCTTTGGCAAAAATGGGAGCAAATGAACGACCGGAACCTCCCAGTCAGGAAAGGAGCCTGGCAGAAAATTGAAGGATGTGGTCGCAGGACTCCCAGATCCTCCTGGAGGCAAGTTACATTGCAAAGAAGTCCGATGGTGCAATCCTGCCTGGTGCTCTGTGTGGCTGTTCAACAGACGGAGAGAATCTACAGCACACCCTCGTGGAGGCATGAAGAGTAGTGCAGATTGCTAGACAGAGCCATTCACATATGTCAGATACCCTGTGTTCCACCCCAGAGTGTCACGCAGGAAGGTCTCGTTTTCTTTACCAGGAACCAGCTACTCAGTGAGACGGTTGGCCATTATGTTTCCGACCTGTGTAATACACTAAGGCATATGAATATGAGCAATTAAATAGTGGACCAATTGGAGACTGAGTTATTGTGGTTTAACAACTAGGTCAAAGCAAGGTTATTGCAAGAAGTGGACTTGCCTTTGCCAGAAACAGGAGATATTTACAGGACTAGCGAAAACTGCTTTTCACCAGAAAGTGGTAACAAGCAGAGAATGACCTGCAGTATATCCAGGTTAAACACACACAGCATGGTACAAGGACAGAATACAGAGACCAGATTTGTTTGCAGTAAATGTGGAAGCAATCACAACAGTGTGCTAAGTATCCAGTGTGCAGGGGGTGCAGTGCAAAGCATTCAGTGAAAGCAGCCATGTTACCAAAGTATAGCTGAGCCCGAATTGCAAAGAAATACAAAATAAGTTCATGAGCATACAGCCGAAGGACAAAGCGATGATGATGATGATGAAGAAGAAGAAGATGAAGCAGAAAACAGAAGTCTTGGTTGGGTCCCATAAGAGATTTACAAGGCAAGATTCTACAACTGATGGGGGTTATTCAGCACTGGAAATAAATGAATAAAAAGTAAACTTCAAAATAGATCCTGGAGCTGAGTGCAACATAATCACAACAAGCTTATACAGAATTAATTGTGACTGCCCAATGTTAAAATTAAAAAATGTGCTTCTTTCATTTAATGGACATGAAATTAGCCCCCGTGGCAATGCCTCAGGGGAATGTTTATATAAGAACAGCTTTCAGAGTAGCAGCCGTGTTAGTCTGTATTCGCAAAAAGAAAAGGAGGACTTGTGGCACCTTAGAGACTAACCAATTTATTTGAGCATAAGCTGTAGCTCATGAAAGCTTATGCTCAAATAAATTTGTTAGTCTCTAAGGTGCCACAAGTCCTCCTTTTCTTTTTATATAAGAACAGGTTACACGTGTTCTCATGCGGGCTTAAGCTGAAGAGCAGTATGCAAATACGGATGATCAAATGTGTATATAACTTGTCTTCAGAACAGGATGCCACAGATATCTAAGAATTGGTTGAGGTGTTTAATGGATGGGTATGCAATAAGGATAGAATACATCACGTTAGCGTAGATCCTAAAGTGCCACCAGAAATACAGGTATGAAGTACCATTAGCACTGAGAAAGTGTAAAAGCTGAACTTGAATGGATGGTAAAATAAGATATTGGAAGCAAATACAGGCACCAGCTGGCTGGGCTAAGAGTATGATCACCATAATAAACCAAATAAGCCAAGGATTTGCATAGATCCAAAAGATTGGAATAAGGCCAGGTGAGATGCAGCACCATGAGAGGAGGCCACAGCAAGGCTTAAGCATGCAAGAGTATTTTCAGTTTTGAATGCAAGCCAAGACTTTTAGCAGGTCTGACTCGATAAAGGAAGTGCAGAAGTCTGAGCCACCAACTCGCCTTTTGGTAGATACATGTTTAGATTACTTCCTTTTGGGGTTGCCTCACCACCTGAGGAGACCAAAGCAGAATGCCTCAGATCTCTGGGGATCTGGGTGGGGTGGAAGTGCTTGCTGATTGGCTGATTTGGGGAAAAAAAGATCAGTAATACACTGAAAGACTGTAAGGTTCTGCTCTGTGCCAAAGAAAAGCTATTTAAAGTGAAGAGAAACAAATACCAGACGGGGCTAAATCTGAGCACAACTGAATAGGAACGTAAGAGCCGCCACACTGGGTCAGACAAAGGTCCATCTAGCCCAGTATCCTGTCTTCCAACAGTGGCCAGTGCCAGGTGCTTCAGAGGGAATAAACAGAACAGGGAATCATCAAGTGATCCATTCCTTGTCCACTCCCAGCTTCTGGCAAACAGAGGCTAGGGACACCCAGAGCATGGGGTTGCATCCCTGACCATCTTAGCTAATAGCCATTGATGAACCTACACTCCTTGAGTACAAGCCAAGAAGGGTGAAGGCAGTTGTACAAATGGAAAGGTCCTCAAAACGGGGGTCGTACAGAGATTCCTATGCACGTTCACACATCTAAGCTAGTTCATCCCTAATACGTCACAGTGAAGTGCTCCATTCAGAATGCTGCTTGAGGACAGTACAGAATGGTCCAGGGATGCCTGGCAAGAGGAAAGTTTTGGGGAATTAAAAGCAAGTTGGCAAAGAAGCACTGGTACTGAAATACTTTGAGATTCAAGATGGGTAAGGTAATACTTTTTATTGGACCAACTTCTTCTGTTGAAAGAGACAAGCTTCCAAGCTACATAAAGCTCTTCTTCAGAGCCGAAGATCTTTGCTGATGCAAACTTAAATGGGTTCGGGACTGTCCTGCAAAATGGTCACCTGGAGGTGGATGCTTTCAAACCACTGACACACACATGTTCACACTGAAAGAAAAATGCTAGCCATTGGTTCTGGTGTGAGCTGTTTTGTGAAAATGCTTATGGCTAGTAATTGTTCGAGATAGGATCAGGTCATAGGCAGCTGGGAAATGTTGTAAAAATCATTGTGCAAAGCACCACCCAGACTCAATAAGTGATCATAAAACTGCAAAAATACGCATTAAAAATGAAATACAGACCCAGAAAGGAGCTCTGTATAGCAGACATGCTTTCAAGAGTGCCTGTAAATAGGGAAAGCAGAGAATTGCAGAAAGAGGACCTAGAAAGAGGATTTGTGTGTTTCAGACATCTGAGGCATCTTTTCTTAAGCCTAGAGTTTGAGTTCTCTGGGACAACGACTGTCCTGTTTGTACAGTGCCTAGGACAATGAGGCCCTGAGACCTAGTCAGGGCTCCTGGCACTACTGTCATACCAGAGATAATACACACAACATGAGGTTGGAAATGCTAAATATGATCTGCACCACCCACCTGGGCCTGGAGAAGTTTGAGCAGAGATGTCCAATTCTGGCCTGTCATGGGGACAGCTATCAAAAATATGGTATCTGAGTGTGAGCAGATACAAGGAGTGAAGCCACACGTGATTCCCAATCATCCTTAGTCCAAGGCTGGCACAGATGTATTTGAATTAAATAGGAATAATACTTTGTATTAGTGAACTGCTACTCAGATTTGTGTGAATTCAGCTGTTCCACGGCTCATTGAGTAGCAGTGTGTGCTGGCAATCACAGGGGCCTCACCATGGAATTCCAAGTGAGCTAGTAAGAGCTATTAGACCACCAATTCAGAAGTGTCTTATTTCAGAAATTCTCTTTGATCTCTCAGTCCAAGCCCACCCTGACAAGCCCATGCCATGCACAGGCAAACATGTTAGTGGAAA